GGATTTCGTGAAAAAGCTTGATGTCGCCGGTAAAGCTCTGTGTACAGTGTGTGACGATGTCATTCTATACGGATCGAGAGGATGGAAAGCGTTACAGAGTCACGCAACCTCGGTGAAACACCGAAAACAGACATTTGTACTTAAAAGTAACGACTCGATCTCAAGCGTTTTTTGACAGCCTGGAGCATGTGTAAAAACAAGGAGTTGGCTAAAAAGAGAGTGGAAAAAGACGGAGAGGACCAATAAGCTTTTAGCGCTTGCTAAAAAGCTTAAAATGAAGAGAAAATCAAGTATTCTACCTCATGAAACTGTATATTGTTGCATATACTGTAAATAGACTTTATATAATAAAATACATTCAAAACCCATATATAGTAAACAGTGTGGGACTTCACTATCACTGTTTGAGGTAAGAATCAACAGCGTTTTATCACATTTACACAACACTTTACAAATACAAGTCATGAACAAATCTGAAACATGGCAGGGAATGTGTTTCCTTTTTTAGTTTTGATTTTGAGCAGCAAATTTGAAGTTACATATTGGTGCTCACCAGGAATGCATAAGCAAATTTGCAGAAATTTTCACTTGAAAGAATAGTGAAAAATCTTGGGATTTTTTTCCGTTAAAGTTTCAAATAGTGTGTAAATTGAATCCACTTCATCTTCAGCATGTTAAGTGCCACTTTAGTTAGTGGCCCCGCCCCCGTCCCGGCCAAGCCCCTTTCCGCTTTTTTCATCACTGGCCACTCTCATGTCTGATGACGTACACAGTGCAAACTTTCATAAAGCACTACTCATATAATAATAGCCTATTATGTGACAGTAAACCTGGTGAAGAAAAGAGGAAAATAGTGCGCGAAACTATAGAATTTAAGAAAGATTTGATCGCGAAATATGAGTCAGGTGTGCATGTGCCTGTGTTGGCTAAGGAGTTTGGGATGCCGAAATCCACCATCAGCAGCATCCTAAAAACGAAAGACCATCTGCCCGATGACAGCTGGGATAGGCGCACGCCCCACGACAGAAAGAGAGAGAGAGAGAGATGTTCCTTCAATTTTTATGTTACAATGTTAATGTTAAAACTGGTGAAAATAAAACATATTACAGTTTGTTTGTACAGTATTTTACATATTACCTGCTCTCTTATTACATGTGTACAGTTTATGGTGTAAAATTGTAAAAAAAAAAAAAAGTGGGTCAAAAAAAGTTGTATTCTTGACTTGGAACGGATTAAATTTTTTTTACATTGATTCCAATGGGAAACATGGTTTCGGTTTTCGAACAATTCGGTTTTCGAACAGTCTTCTGGAACGGATTATGTACGAAAACCGAGGTTTGACTCTACGTTGGAATGTGATGTTTGTATTTTGCATGTATTTGCAGAGATGGGCATTCAGTCCCTGGGACAGAATGGTCTGTCCAGACAGATGCCCATTTTTGGGATGGAAGACGGAGGATGGCAAGTTTTATAAAAAGAACCGACTAAGCAAGGACGGAAGTGGGTTTTCATCCGTCCCTTTAATCGTCCCCAACCGGATTGAGTATGTGGTGTGGGGAGGCAAAATAACAAGGCCAGAGTGTAGCCAAACACTGTGTTTTCTTAACAAGCTATTAACAGCACAACACAAGTTCGTATGACTCACATAGTCACCATTACAGAACTCCTCTCCTTTCTTTTTCATCCCAACAGTATTTTGATAGAAACACTGCCACCTAGTGTACAGTCAGAGCACATGAAGTGCCTACGGAAACCCATTTCACTAACAATTAATCCAGCCGGTGAAGAAAGATGGCTGTGTTTTATGTCTCTTGGTGCCCGCCCACAAAGATGCTTGTGGCCTCCCATTTGAGGCACGGCTTTCTAAAAGTAAAGTATTTATTATTTTATCATACTAGCTATTTTTGTGTTGTGAAATACAAATGTTGAGTTGCTTATCACTAAAACATTAAAATTATGAAAAAATAATAATGTCATTTTTGTTTGATTGGTCCAGTTTTATCTGCAACAGCCAATCACGGCGTGACTAAAAATACGGTTCGGTACGCAGGCATATACGTCAACTTTTGCATGTGAGAGTCCTGCACATTTTTCAGTGTGGCATTGTGTAATGTGGCAAGACATTTTATGGACAATGTGTTTCTCTCGTGAAGTGACATAAGCTTTGTAGTGAGCGCCTCTAAAATCCCGAATACTTGAGCAATTGTTCTAATATTTTCAGAGGTTGACTTGAGCATAAGTAAAGATGTCAACATAAATTTTGGTGACCATCGATTGGGGTTTTGGCACATTAGGCAACGTTTAGATTCCTGCATAATGGGTTTAAACTGTGTATGACAGGTGAGGAAGAACATATTACATTAGCGTCAGCAAATAAATAAGCATTGGATCATTTATTCGCCAGAAACTCTTCGGAATATTAAACTGAATATAAATATTTATTTTCCTTTTTTCTTGTCAATTCTGGAGCAGAAAATTGGTGAATCGGGTCGAAGCCATAGGTCATCCCATACGCCATATTGTATGTGGCTTTAATATGAGCCATATAGTCGGCAATAATCGCAAAACTTAGTCAGGATAGCATCATACAAGCCTAATCAATAATTCTGTATTATTCCATTGAGCTTTTACTTGATGATACATCTCCAAGAAGGAAGCATCTTTTCAATTTGCTTCACTTTGCCACATCCAGTACGACTGCGACGTTGAGTACTCAAGAAGGCGTCTTTGTATTTATAATTTAAATGCTGTCTATGATAATGCTTGCCGTTGTCTCAAAAGGTGCCATTCAAGATGGGATCGGCGGTGCTACGCGAATATATATGACACAAATAAGTGTCGTCAGTTGGGTGTTGATCCCCCCATGTATTTCATGTGCTCCCCTTATGGCTGAGTTCGGGTCTGCCTCTGCCGTTAGCCTTTTGAATCAAAATAAGAAAGTCAGGATTGATGGCTACGATGAGCACATTTTGCAGTGCACAACTTTTCCAGTGGCTTATCAGCGTGATTGACGTGTAATGTCTTTCAGTGGCGCCTTGATTTACTTGGTTTTGTGCTGTCCGCAGCCAGCATTTCTTTCCTCGTCCGTCTCCCACTGTAGCCACAGTGATGCCAAGTGCTAGATATGCGTTGTCATATTTCCTTGTTTTAGCTTTCGGTTGACTTTCTTTTTGTCTCATTATCTTTTTATCTCTCCGCCTTTCTTTTCATCCCTGTAAAAAAAAAGAAATCATGTCTCCTGAGGCTTTGTTTCCTGTACTTTATTTCACCTGCTCGGTGCAAACAAAACAAAAAAAAAAAAACCTTACATGATAGAGCGAATACTCTGCAACTCTGCACACTCTCTGACAATGAGGGCACCACTGCCAACTGCTGCAGTGGATGTGCAATTACATTTTATTTTCTTTTCTTCGGCAAAAAAAAAATGCATGCTCCCCAGAGTCAGCTCCCGTGCTCGTGCGCAGTAACGGGTTGATCGCGGGAGGTTGGTTGACTGAAAAGTCGATCTGCGGTCCAAATAGTTTGGGCACCCCTGGTGTAGGGGATGGCCCTGTCAAAAGGCATGCAACATTGCAGTAACTTCAAAGTGAAAAAAATGTCATTTTCAGCGACTGTGATAGTGATCGATCTGACATAGAGGGGGAGAGAGCCTATGTGCCAGCATGGATGTTGAATGCATATGCTGAAGTTGTCAACACTGATGATGACAGGTACAACCTCCCCGTCCCACCAACCGTCAGCACTACCTGACCACCTTTTGATCATGGTTAATGCGTGGCCTCGACAAGTCATGCCAAACAGCCCCATAAAGTGATCAAAATTAAAAAAGGTGAGGTGCACATTATCATTCCTGATGGCCCTACACTCCCAAGTGCCCCTCCTCCAACGCCTTCCACTGTTGAAGAGCCAAGGTCTTCCAGCCACGACAATGTCCAAACAAAAGAACCTCAAAAGGTCCGATAGCCGACTGTAGGCTCAGGCGACAGAGCCTCCTGAAGACCTTTAGTCTCCATAGAGCTATTTTGAGGAATCTCTAACATCCTCCAGCCACCGCAGGGACAAGACAAAAGAACCTCAAAGGTCCACCAGCAGACTGCACCCCAAAAAAACCCACCAAAGACCATGAGTTGCCAGAATAGCCCATTTGAAGAATCTCTAAGGTCCTCGAGCAGCCAGAGGGTTGAGTGCATGCATCATGTGCAGCCATACAGGGGATGCCCTACCCTCCTCCCAAAAACTTGGTTCGGCCAAGGGCCAAATGTTGTTTTTAGTCTTCCAGAGCAAGCTGAGGTTCCTCACGGTTGTCACCATGGCAGCCTCTTGATTTCTCTTTCACGCCTTGATGACATGACGAAGAGAGGAAATGGGAGCTGTGGCCATATGACAGAAAACCAACTCTTTGATATTCCCATCAAACCAAAATATTGTGTCTATAGCAACAAACAAGGGGGTGGGGGGTGGGGTCAATATATCGAAAAAGTGGTCAAGTGATGGAATAAAGAGCGACATGCGTTTGACAAAGTCCAGCCACCACAAACATTGATCTGCTTACTTTCACAAAGGATAGTGAACACAGTCTCTGAGACAGAGGTTTGGCATGAGGCAAGAGCTGACCAACGCTCTCACTGCACAATAAATGCAAAGAATAGATTCCTGAGATGTCATTTTTGTGATAAACGCACCAACTATGCACCGTGAAAAGTGCAATGCATCTCTTCACATTTTTTCAAAAAATACCACAGTAAGTAGAACATGAGTTAATGCAAATGGCTGAAAGGGCCAATAAAAAAGGAATGTTGAAAATCAGCAAAATGAGGAGGAGAAATACAGGGTTTTTGAAGAGAGGTTTAAATTGAGTCAACAAGTTCTGTTCAGTAGACGAACTGAAAGATACTGCACATCTTCAGAGGTATGTTTTTGTCATCCATTATATGATACAGTCCATATCATGAAAAGGTTTTGACAATCTGGGGACATCACTGCATCTGCATGTACAGTAAGCAGCAAGGCCGAATGCCAACATTGAATGCCCGTGACCTTTGACTCAAATCCCTTGTCAAAGTGCAAGCCAAGAAAGTCCGAAATGCATTTGAATAGAAAAGCATACCTTTGTGTGACAAATATTTTAATTTGATTCAAATGTGATTAATTGCAATCCCTCTTGATGTGCAGATGTTGAGTTCCTGTCGCCGCTGATGAAAAATGTCCTATAAATAAAGTCCCGACTGATTGCTCGCCTGATTGATGACACCATGTCCTAATTAAAGTTGTTGTCTTGATAGATTACTGTTTATCGTCATTAAGGTATTTATGAAATATACCTGCACACTCTTAATGTCATGATGGCAAACTGAAAAAAAAAAACATGCCTTGTGTTGCATTCCCAGTGGGATTCTTTCTTTCTTTCCCTCACCGCCTGCTTTATTGGAAGCATGCTTACTGCTGCTTGTTTGCCTTTTATGAGGAGCACTGTAGTGTTGTTTAGCTTGCACTAAAATATCAGCTGGACAGATTTAGGGATATTACACAGAAAAGCAGCACACTAGAAGTCATCTGTCGGAAATGGGACAGTGGGGATAGTAGCTCATAAGGAGCATTCCCAGTAGTCATGTTGTGTTGTGATTTTTTTTTTTTTAATATCTTTTTTTGATGATGTTGTGTTGAAAGTCAAACCCTTGCAAAGCATGCTGTAGCGCCTTTTTCCTCACCCTTCCTCAATAAAATTGATAGATGTGGAGGTCATTTATCATGGTGGTGACTGGCTAATGCTATCAGCATGCTGGCAGCAGCTTTTAATCATCCGCTTCTGGATGAAGAAAGTGCTATATTATCCAATCTCAATCCATATCCTGCCGAGCATGAAATGTTATTAAAAAGTTGCAAAGCGCCTCGATTGGGGGGTGACTTTTTTCCAACTCGAGGGGCGCATTTGATTTGACTCTTTTGTGGCAAATATGTGGAATATTGTATCCTCCCAGCGCAAACTCCAATAAGCTCCCGAATCAATGGTGCCACTGAGCTCATATATCATATTGTATCATATCATTGGCCTCGCAAAGCTTTGAAGCTCACAATGTGTTAACATTGTAACTCACTGAGTAGAATCTCTGGTGAACTCCTCGTGTAATTGTTGCATCATTGCAACTATTTTCATAAGGGTCCGCAGTTATCGTGGCAGACACTGTGGTTCATTCCATTAACCCGAAGACGGAAGGCTTGCATCCCTGTCTTTTACATTGCGTAATGTATGTAAAAGCAGGAGGTGCAGGAAATTACTACAAATCAATATATATAATATACCTTTCAGTTAACTCACTTTCAATTAATTTGGATACTTTGCAAAGCCAAATTCAAATACCCTTTTCGTTATATATCTTTGCTGCATCGTTCAGCACTTGTATTTTACAGGGAAATAATTTTATTCACATATCAAGGAAAGCTATTAGAACAGCCTTGGAATTGAAAATATACCTTGACATTGATTTCAAGATTTTAACTCAAGTAAATATCTGTAACAAGCTTTGTCAAAAAAAAAAGTTTAAAAATGTGATTTAATTTAAGAAATGTTACTATTAATCAGTTAAAAATTGTAATTGCATGATAACACGAATAAAAACACATACACACACACACACACACACACACACACACACACACGCTGTGTATGGGTGATCCATCTCTCAATAAAAAAAAATGTTCTTGATACATCGTATTGCATTCTTCACAGCAGTATCGATGCATAAACATAATTTATTTATGGCTCATATAGCAGCTTGCTGACCTGAGGTAATTAAAATCTCATGTTTCTTTCATTGTTGATTTAAAAATAAATAAATCAATAAAAAAGGGGGGGCATGGCAAATTGAAGCTGTGTTTTGGTTTGTTCATTTTTACCTGCACAAAGGCGTATTTGACCATGGTTTCAAATAAAGCCAAATAAATATTGAACCCATTAACTGCTCCTCATATAGAGGAATAAACATACAATGACCAGAGTCTGTATTTGTCGAAACTAAAATGGAAGAAGGTTCCCTGCCCGAGTACCAGACTTTTCTTATTCTAGTGACCTTGAAAAAGAACACTGCAACACTTTACGTGCTATGTGAGGCGAAGCCAATCTTAGGTGGCACTCGACAATATTCTCTCACATAGCGGACATGGCCACGCGTCCATAAATCATTCCCACGACAGCTGCTTGAACTCGGAAAAAGCAATGAACTTAACTATGACTCACTCTCACCTATTTTTAGTCCACCTAAAATCAGTCCAAAGTTTGGCCATTTGCTGCATAGACTTGGGTTTTTTTTGGGTTTTTTTTTTTTTTAAGCCATGCCATTTTTGAACAACTAAATTAAATTCGGCCCACAAAAAGAAATTACACTTGTGCTCACCTGCATTGTTTTGGGGCTGAATGAGGATACAAGCTGCTTTCTTTTCTCAAGCAGGGACAGATTTAATCAATCAATCAAACTTTATTTTTATAGCACTTGTCATACATAAAAATGTGACTCACAGTGCTGTGCAGTTAAAACAACAACAACAAAAAAAGAGGATCCTCCCACTCTGCCGCGTCATACGCTGATACATAAACCATATGAGGAAAAGAGCACCCACAAGGGGAGCTCATCCACGCTAACAAGAATGTCAGCCACAACACTTCCCAGCATGGAGCCCCCCACACCCCATGAGGATACACTGAAACTTAAAAAAAATTGAATTGAAATAATTAAAATTAGTATTGAAATGTGTTTATTCAAAAGCCAAGCTAAAAAGTTGCGTTTTAAAGCCTCCTCCGAAAAACATGGCATCCATGGCCACTGGCCACCCCAAAAATAATTTTGTCACATGTAAAGTGCTTTACGTTGGATTACAGTTAGCATTTTTTGTGTCATTTTCAGCTTGAGGCCCTCTGTAAAAAATAAAAAATAAAAGAAAATAAAAAGTTTGGACATCGCTGATCCAAGTGACTCCAAGAGCCTGTTTTGCACAATGATTAAAAATTATCCATCCATCCATTTTCTAATCCGCTTACCCTCATGAGGGTCGCGGGCATGCTGGAGGCTATCCCAGCTGTCTTCAGGCAATAGGCGAGGTACAATTAAAACTTAATCGAAGTGTTATTCTCATTGTCTTGAGGTGATTATCAGTAATTTGTTTTCCAGAGCCCCCAAAACACTCGCTTTATTTATTTCCAGCTTCATCCATCTCAAAATGTGTATGTTGTGCTTTTCAGGAAACGCCAACGATTCCTGAACTCTCGCAGACGTTTGATGCCCCTCACGGGGGAAACATCGGCACCGCCGATCTGCCGTGCCCGGTTTCATTCTGCAAATTCCTGATAGAAAATGTGAGCCTGTTGGGAAATTATTATCACGGGCGTATCATTTTTCATACTGTGATTGGTTATTTTCCCGGGGAAATAGGGAGCGCAGAACACGCACACGCACGCACGCACGCACGCACACACACACACATACACACACACACTGTGTGAAGTAGCAGGTGTAATCGAGGAAATCAGTACACTGCTTACTATTCATAGTACCACTGTTCAACAGGACTTTCTGTGTAATCACCTACTTATCACTTTTTTAGGTGTTTCTTAGGGTGTGTGACTGAAAGATTCTTCACACATGCTTTCCTGTAAAACAGAGGTACCCATATCCGGTCCTTGAAGGCCCCTATCCAGCGAGTATCATTATCAGGCTTCTGCAAATCTTGCTGATGAGCTGATCATTGGAATCGGGCATGGTGGAGGAGAGAAACATGTAAAACAGGCTGGATAGGACATCTCGAGGAACGGACTCGGGCACCCCTGCTGTAAAGCATGGCGGGTTCCTATAGCAAGCTTCTCTTGTATTCATTTTCCTTAAAGACAAAAAAATACAAATATTGCTGGCATGGTTCTGTTTGTTTGTCTCTTATTAGGCGGGATCGGCGGGCGTCTCCTACAGGGCCCCACCCGTTCATCATCATCATCATTCTCACCTGCTTTTGAAATGACTGCCAAGCCGACAGCTTGGTGTCGGATAATTCAGCCTTGCTCACGCCTGTCATACCAATCGTTTGTATTTTCTAGACGTCTATGTTCTTGCCTTGTAATACTCTAGCCACGTTTTGTATTTTTGATATTGTAGTTCCTTTTTTTGTATTGTACTAAACTTTTTGAGGGGATTTTCCTTGTCCTTTTGACTAGTAATTTACCTTTATTTATTTAGTTTTTTGTCCGTGCCTTTTGCAAGCATTTTCAGTTTTGTCCTGGTTCTTTGTTACCAGTGTCATTTGTTGTACTTTGTCGGTCTTGCATTTTCTTTTATAAACATCAGTTAGATTTCATTCTTGTCTACGTTTGTCAGATCAGATTCTGTTCCAGATATCCGCAACTGTGACAATTGCAAGTCAAATAAAAATATTTCATTTTCGATTTTTGTATGAGCAGGATTTAAGTAGTATATAGGTAATGGTGAGTAAAGTAGTTTCATTCATCTGTGTTGCCTGTTTTAGTGATGCAATATCCGCTCTGGAGCAATGATACGCTCCCCCATAAACTCACGTTAAAAGTTTGACATGTGCAGTAGGCTCCTCTGCAGTACATCTATCCATCTATTCTGTGAATGGTCACTCCACATACAAGATTATTAGCATCAACTTTAGGGTGAGCAACCATCCCGCGTAGCACGTACACGTACAGCGTTTGAAGCTCAATCCATGTCTCCAAATCAATGCTTGCTCTAATACCAAACTTGGTCACGATATCGCCTCGAGCCTAAGGCAACCAAATTAATATCATTTGACAGTTCGGCATGGCTCTGTCGCCGCACCCACCCCTCAGTTGAACAGCTGCCTGCTTTGAAAGTTTGCCATCAACAACTTTTCATTTTCATTGTCATGACACCTCAAGCATGTGCAACGAAAGATAGACAAGTCAGATACGCTGGCACATGAGTGCGCTATGAAGTCGAAAATGGAGAAAGAAGCTAACGTTAGTGAGCATCGACTACGAGGAGATGTGTGTCTAGGAAAGATTGGGAAAGTCAGTTTTTGTGTACAGCAGCAGTCAAGGGGGATCTTGAGGGCTTTTTGTGACCTTTGCAAAACGTCATTTTCAATCGGACACGGAGGGGAGTGTGATGTCAAATGGCAAGGCCTTGTTGAGTAGTGAATCCCCAGGCTCATTTTTCAACTCTTCAATTTAACTTAGTTTCCTTACTGGCCTATTTATGAGCATACATCAGCATATGTTTAGGGGAACTGGGCATTGTTAATCCATCCATCCATCCATTTTCTGATCCGCTTTATCCTCACAAGGGTCACGAGGGGTGCTGGAGCCCATCCCAGCTGTCTTCGGGCAGTAGGCAGGGGACACCCTGAACCGGTTGCCAGCCAATTGCAGGGCACACAGAGACAAACAACCATCCGTGCACTCACACTCCCACCTAGAGTCAATTTGGAGTGTTCAGCCTGCTATGCATGTTTTTGGAATATGGGAGGAAACCAGAGTACCCGGAGAAAACCCACGCAGGCACGGGGAGAACATGCAAAACTGGAATCGAACCCGGTACCTCTGCACTGTGAGGTCGATGTGCAAACCACTGGTTCACCGGGCTGCCGGCATTGTTAATATACCGTGTAAATATGTACGCGCTATAAATGGGTAAACCGCTATCAGTGAGTGCCCGTGGAGTGGAGACTCCACGTTTCCACAATGCTGAGCAGTGTGCCACATTGTCCCCCTGAAACATACCCCTCGTCCCCTCCTGGGTTTGTTAGCAGCTGGCCTCACGAATCAACTTCCGGGTGTAACATTTCGTCAAATAACGAATATTCACACACAAACAGAAAAGGGGACTGACCAATAGTATTGATTTTTCAAAAATATACATCTACCAGTGTATACTTTGTAAATGAAATTGACACCAATAGAGTTGTGTGGCTCACGGCTAGAGGGGAGACCAGCCCTTGTTGCTAAGAAGCCATGCAAAAAATTAGCTTGTGACATTTTTAGAGGGAAGTCTGAATTTCATCTTGTGTGAAAGTAAGAGCCACTTGGCAAAAGTTGTTAGACCAAGGGTCTCCAAACTCAGTCCTCAAGGGCCAATGTTTTGCCTGTTTTCCATCTTTCCCTGCTGAAACACACCTGATTCAAAGGATGAGCTCATCAGCAAACTCTGAAGGACGAAGATATCATTGCTGATCATTTGAATCCGATGTGTTGCAGGTTACTTCCATCATTCCACATTTGATGCAAACGAAGTAAAAATACTTGAGTAACTCATATAGTACATCGTGTTTCAGAAGCAGAAACATTTTCAATTTCCCACTTGTCTTGCCATCCGGGGCCATGTCCACTTAAAACATGCTTCGCCCCAATTTATCTGCTCTTCTTCACTGTTTCCTTCAGTCCTATTACTTTCCTCTGGTCGTGGTCCTCGCCTCCAGCCCTCATATTCACCCACCTGTGCCTCATCGCCTCCCATCACTACAAACACTTTTCACTTGCTTTCTCGACTTCTGTGTACCCTCTTTTTGGCTCATTTGTTCCTCTGCCTGGTTCTCGCCTGCCTGCTTGCCAGCTTTTTTTTTCCTGCTGAGTTGATGTTTGAGAAAAGTTTGTCAGTTGCATTGCCAACACTCACACACACTCGGAGGCAAGTTGTGACTCAACACTGTATTGTTTTGGTTTCCAATTGTTATTTTTTTCTTACTTTTTTTTTTCTTGGCCCTCAATATTGGCTCCTAATGATACAAGCCCTGTTCAAACAACTTACACAGCACCAGCTTTTATCAACTTCAAGGTATAAAGGCTGCACTGAAAAATAAACAAAAATCAAATTTCACTTTGAGGATATAGGAACAATCTTAAGAGAAAAAGGTTAGAATATCCAGAATAATATGTTGTAGTTTTTCTTGAATGCAAAAAATATATCCATCTTTAGTATTATTTGACGGGGTTTGAAGCTGAAGCCCCCCTTGTCTGTCCTGGTCTTTTATCTTGTAAGTCAGTACTGCAACTGTTTGTATTGTCTCTTTCATGATGTCTTACCTATTTGGTTCTTATGTCTGTCATTGTGTTCTTAAAGTTTTATGTGCCTTACTGTGCTATTTTAGAAACCTGTCTTGGGACTACGGCTGAAAACTAGCATTTAGGCTAAATCCGGCGCATTTACACTGCCCTAATGAAATAAATAAATATTATGTATAAACATAGAATGTTTTTTCAGCCCCCTAAATGATTTGGTTTCATTTTACTTTATTTATTTATTTATTTATTTATTTTATTTATTTAAACCCAAGAACTTTAACATTAGTAGGCTACAAAATTAATTTGAATAAATTACAACCGGTCAGCATTATTCCTTTAAATATGATCATTATTATCATTTGCCGGGTTTACATGGAGCCATGTATTCCAATTAGAATGTATAAGAATGACCAAACGGAATGAAAATGCTCCTTATAAACATCTCAATTGGAATAGAAAGGTCCAGTCCGAATGGAATTTCATTCGGATTCACAGGGGTGGTATATTCCTTTTGCCAATTCAAATTAATGTCATGTAACCAGTTCAATCACAGTTGCCAATCTGTGCATGCTCCGTCTTGAAATAAGTGCGTTGTACCCTCGTCATATACGCACTTGGAGTCAGAAAGACGCAAATCCACGAAGCTTTAAAAAACAAGGCATCGATTCAACTCCTGATGACAAGCCACCATCCAGCGAGGAAGCAATGCAAATGGCAACAAATCC